TCACTAATTCAAGTCGGACTACAAATAACTTTAAAACTTGAACTCGCTTCAAAACCTGAACTCGAAAGCTTGATCTTCAACTCTAACAAATCATCAAAATCTTACTGAATGTTTATGAATTCACCATCTGATATTTTTTGATCGCATTGCACTCAACTATGAAAAATTTCGTTCACAATTGGTTTTAATTGCATGAAAGTGTCCTCTTTTAGGTCATAGCTTCAAAACAGTTCTAAATATTGATTTGATGCAATGCTATGAAGTATTGGATGGATGGATATCTTGATGCAATGGTCAGCTGGTGGTCAACGCATGCAATAATTCTCTTGGTGTGGTCATTAATTGAGCATGTTAATGGTCATCACTCAAGGACAACAACATCTTAGTAATTGTTGAATTGATCAGCACTTGTTGTTGACCTATATATTGGATAACACAAACTAGTGGACAATTACACAGACGACAGTGTAAACGAGAGGGTGTTACATTTCATTTAAGAACATGCATTCGGGTGAATACTTGTTTACAATTGAATAATTAATGGTATTGCAAGGATTTACGAAGCAGCGATTGAGAGTCGATCGTCGTATTGAAGAGAAATGCATATTTTACTTAGAGGGATCTGATTTGAGGCGATTTAGTAAACAGGATTTCTTGGAACTGTCATCTACGTCATCATTAATTTGAGAACCCGTGTGAAATGTCACAAATAACAACGACATTAATTTCAGTCGTCTTATTGTTATTGTCATCGTTGATCTTTAGACACAAAGAAAATCAACTTGTGTTCACCTAACCCAATACTGCAGCATCTGTTTTCTGCTTGGAATGCCCTTTAAAACCCTGAACTCTGCAAGAATTTACTCGCAATTCTGCTGTTTTCCAAAAAAGCGTGAATCATTAGAAGCGTTCAGCTTCTTTATCAAAGTAGTTAAGGTATTTGGTGAATTTCATGAGGAGATTTCATGTCGAATATTCGTGCTCTTCAATTGGCTCAAATGAACCAGCACNGTTGATCAACGGAAAGAGATCAAAAAAAGTGAGCAAAACACACGGATCAGCTTTAAGAATTTCGAGTTCATCCTCTTGTTCCATCAACGACATATCAGAGTCCAGATAAGATCCAAAATCACCCATACTACCATCATACTTAAACACTTGTAAGGCTGCATCACCAGGCTGTAACAAGCGATTACTATTATCTCTATTTCATTTCATTTCATCGTTTTTGTCAATCATCATTATTCATTGTTTCTGTAATTTATATCAGCACCGTCATTATGGCTATTGTTATCACCACTACCACTTTACCATTATCATTTCTAGGCTTCAAAGCTACGACGGTTCAGAAACGTTTTCGAATAACGGAAAATGAATAGATTAACTTCAGAGAACAAAAAAAAATCTCAAAGATCACCATTAATACTTCATGGTTTACTAAAAATCACCATTAATACTTCATGGTTTACTAAAAAAAAACAAGGAAGAATGAATACTTTATGTGGCGCTCGCAGTGTCCTTATAACATCTGAAATCTGTTCGATAATAGGCTGATGAAGTGAGAAATTATAC